CATTCATACACTCCGCAGAGCTAGAGAAGGTTGAAAGTTATTTTCAAAATTCAACACAGTGAGTAAAAGGTCCAACTAGTGTATTATCTTACTCATCGAAGTCCCTTGAGAGTATTTTGATCATGGTGTTTTCCATGGGCCAACATTGCCTATATTAAAAGAAAATGAGTAGAAACAGCACTTCATAAACTGGCATCGAATATAAGAAGAATATACACTACAGGCATGGAAAATTTAAATTTTGAAGTAGTACTAACTTATAACAAAATGTGTACTTTTTAGGTACTAAACTACAGAGAAGACTATAGACTAGGCTATAAACTAGACCATATACTAGACTATAGACTAGTCTATATAATAGACTATAAACTTGATTACAGATAATATTATATACCAAACTACAGACTAGACAATATACTAGATATAGACTAGACAATATACTAGACTATGGACTAGGCCATAGACTTGACCATAGACTATACTATAGACTAAACTGTAGACTAGACTATGGACTACACTATATACTAGACTATAGCCTACAGGCTGGTCTACTGACTACTATGTGGACTACTTATCTAAAGTTTATAAATTAGAAAAAGTACTGAAAATGTCGTGGTGTACTGAAAGAAGTACAAGAGCACTAAATTTTCCATGCCTGATACATTACCATGTTTCCTAGATATACTTAGATAAGTCAGAAGTAATAATGCTTACTATGCTTGAATCATGAACGAACGCCATATATAAGCTGAACTAGGCGGTGACGAAAGTAATGAAAGCTGTAGCTCTTAGATGTACACTTCAAGGCGGAGTTCTCGATTCTTGTCCTAAACGAGATATTAATAGATCTTAAGAGAAAATTTTGTAAACATTCTATCTGAGGTTATGGAATGTGCTCCTAAGTAACTAAAAAAAATGGACTACTAAACTTGGACTTGATATTAAAGCTAAAAAAACAGAGATGGTACTTTTCACAAAAAAAATTTAATCTATTTTTAACTGTCAGAAAATGAGTTATCGAAAGCCATAGTTAGATCGATTCTGACATATGAATCTATTGTTTGGTGGTCTATAACGAACACACGTAGCCATACATTACTTGTTGAGAGGTCACTTAGATAAACCGGTAATCAAGCAATGTTTGCGATTCTGTGAATTGATCCACTTCACCTACAAATGAAAGACAACACTCTTAGTACTCAAATCAGACTTGAATAGATCGTTTATAAGAAACTTTTATTTCAATTATATTAGGGCGGATTACTATACGTGCCAGATATTATATGAGTCATTCCACCTAGAGATAGCTTGGAGAGAATAAACCACTATTGTATTGAGGATTATAATAGATTTCTAGAAACGCGTACTTCAATCATCAGTTAGTCAATCATTTCTCACAGTAAAATAAGGATGAATACATGAGGCATCCTTATTTTACTGTGAGATATCATGAGTGAAGTCTATTTAGATAGAAATTATCAGAGTCTTTTATGTCAACTTAAAGATTTGAGTTATGCGGATGACATTTGTCAACTCTCACATAAGATCTTCAATATGCAAGCAAAATAGGAAGCCTTTAAAAACGATGACTATTTATACCAGATTTATAGATTTAAGTCTTTAATCATAACAATTTACCAAAGGTTTAAAAGACAAATTTTCATAAAAATTTTGTTCTATAATCCTTTGATAAATTGTTATAAATAAGGCAGATATAGATTATAGGTTTTTATCTGTAGTCTAAATCTATTTTATGATGTTTATTCTCCAGTGATCTTAATGTACTGATGTACTAAATGTAACAGAATTACTATCAGTAACACACACCACCATTCAAAAATTTGTCTCTCCAATATATTTTTAACTTTTATTTAAGTATTTAAATAAAACATCATATGAATAGTTATTGAATTAAACAATTTTTTTTAAATTTATTTCTTTAATATCGTTTGGTGTATATTGACTTTTTTTCAATTTGTACAACAGTAAATGGACTACATATTAGCTTTAGTAACGATCTTAATTACCTGTTTCTTGTTTGTGTTTAATTAAAATTTTATAAATTTGTTTAAACAGAAATTGTATATTTTATCAGAGATTATTAAGCAATAAAATCATATGTATAAAATCGATGTTTCAAGTTGTTGCTTATATGATATATTCATATACATTGTATGTTTTTTGAAATTTAATTTTTGGTACTTATGAATGTGACTACGAACATACATACATATGTATGTAGGTACATTAAAAGGAAAAGAAATTAGATTTCAAAATGACTGAGAGCAGGTTTACGTTATCTTATGAACTATTCCAAGGCCGCTGTTGAATCTATTGTGATTTACATATGCAAAGAATTATCGTAACGATGTGCAAAAACACAGTTTCCGTTATCCTGTATGTTCTGTCAGAACACTTAAGGCTTCTCGCCCTCCTCTTGCTTGGGCCACCCGATATGCTCTTCGTAAAGACATACAGGATTACGGACAAACTTAGGAGAGTGATATCAGACAAATTTGGATCATGCGCAGAAGACATTGATACTCTGGAAGAAAATATACTTGTAAGCTCCGACAACATTAGGGATTTTGGGAACGATGTTATTCAAGTATAAAATCATTCAAGAATAAAGATTCAAACATTTAGAAGAACTACGTACAGGAAACTGAGTTTCTGAACATCGGTAATCACATCAGCATTATAAAAGTTTTGCCCCTGTAAAGGAGCATACGATAGGCCTGCTAATGCCCTAGATATATTTTTCGGATTTTATGTATTAGACATCCTGTTCTCAACCCAATCTAACTTAAATTACAACGTGATCATGACTTTTGTATTGAAGAAATACTTTGACAGTATATTGGAAGACGGGCAGTTCTCAGTGTTCATCTCTTTGAAAGGTCGGATTCTCTTTGACTCTGAATAAGTTAAAGAAGTGTCTGTCATACCCTTTGGATTGTACTGAGCTTAACTCAATATCATATTATTAAATCTTCTTCTTCATCATTCTTGAGATTAGGTATGATGTATTTCCTATTACTAAGAAACCCCTTCTTCACATATTAATTTTTGCCAATAGCTATAGTTATATACTTGATGCATTTACCAGCACGAAAGCCAAGGTATCCTCCGTCTGGACATTTAGATGGGCGTAAAAGTTATTCTTCACCGATCTGTTAGCGTTTTATCGTCGATTGATTCGTCTTGAGTTTAGGCCTCAAATTTGAAAAAAAAAACTAATTTAAATGCACTTTATCATAAATTTCTTTATCACAATCATAACTGAACTATCTACCAAATCAACATCTAAAATTTGCTCACAATTTCACAATTTGGTCTCCGATTTAATCAAATTTACTTAGCGGTTATAGTTGAGACCTAAATCACAGACAAAAATGTTTCGGTTATTAACTGAGGTCCCTTCATAGTGCACGTAGCTTCTCCAGTAAAGGGACTGCGATAATAGATAGCTGAAATCCTTGAGCAAAATGGACCGGTGTCAGCTATGTACAAAAATAGTCGCATGTGTGTTCTTTTCTAGTCATAAAGGGGCGATGGTTAATACATAGTTGAAAAATTACCATTCTAGCATAGGTTCCCCCGGGGCATGTTTCCATGATGAAATGTCCCATCATGGTGTATTGCAATCCCGGGGTAAAGAGGTGCTACCAGTACCTCTAGTCTGCCGGGACTATAAACTGGTGGTGTCACTTCACTCCTCGGCTAGTCCTTGGTATCATTTGACATGGGGTCTAACCAGAGATTCACCTAATCTGGTACTACGTGTGGCCAGTTGCCCGCAGGACTATGTCCTGGCTGGTCAGTTAGTTTAGGTTCCTTCGGGATCCACGAAGTGTCTGTGGTTTAAACCCAAATTCGCGGGGAGAGTAAGTGGCGGTTAAAGTACTGATGTAAGTAAAGTCAATATTTCGGGATAAGTTCGGTGCTATTGCCGAAACAACAGATACCCCACAGAGGAATGACTGTGGGACTAAGCGTTGGAAATGAGTTGGTGTTTATTGTATATGATACAGGATGAATGTAGGGGTCTTGTCAACCTGTATACCTAGAGTAAGTGTAAGTGTGTTGTTGTCTATTCGGATGAATGAGAAGTGTGCTGGGTTGAATGATGATGGATGAAAGGTATCATATACAAATGATACCATTGAAATTTCCGTCCTTGTCCAGATATGTTCGGAGTATACTCTGTTCATATCAGAATTACCATAGTGTGTCACTGTGAGTAAGAACAAAGTCTCGGTTTATTTAATGGATTCGTACTTCGGTCTACTTGTTACATCTCTAGGTGCTGTTGCCGACTCAACAGAGGTCATCCCATCTACGTGTTTGTAAACGGAAGTGATGTTTTACATCTCGGAAGTTAAGCAACGGGGCAGCAATGATCAGAGATTGAATAGCTCAAGTACTTCAGCAAAGTGCTAGTACATGGACCGGCATAGCCATGTACAAAAATTGCCACTTGATTTCTTCATTGAAGATTGAAGGGGCGATTTTAGACCGTTCTCAAGGCTACCCAGTGGATGAAAAAGACCACCTTGAGATAGGCCAACACGGCAGGTACTCACGTAAAGCACTTCGACATTCATTTTACATACTTTACTCACGTAAAGTAATCGTACTTCTGTATCTCTCTGCCTAATGCACTTTTTCACTAGTTTTGTTAATATTGTGTGGACTTGCTGGGCAAATTTCTATGGTGATTTGGAATCAGCGACTGTGAGAATCATATGCTTATTGGAAAACCATTTAGTTATAAAAACTGAACTTATTTAAATAATTTATTTATAGTTTTTAAAGATGAGTTTTTTCTTTAAGAAAATGGACTCACAACTTGCTTATGTACAGTGTATATGAATTGATATTATCGGGTTTAAATGCAAACTTCTCATTCTATATTTTCTCGTTTTTGGATAAATATGCCTGTAAAAGTGTTCTCATATTGTCCAATTTTTTATGAATTACTAAAATAAAAACCAAAATTTGTGTAAAAATAAAAAATGTTTATATTTTTTTTCTTTCTTTTGAATTGAGTACTAATGATTACATGAATTTGTTTTGACTATTGTTTTTATAAAAAATAAATTGAATAATTTAAATTAAATTAATACTCTTAACATAAAAACACAATTTTCCCAAAATAAATGTAAAATACAAAGTTATTAGCTATAGGAAAATATATGTATATTGCATATTTAAGAATTGTTTAAAATTTAGAAAAACTA